ACAGTTAACTTTGCTAAGCTCCAATTTTCGGTGATCTGTCTCATACTCAGATCAACATGTTTTTCTAAGAGCTACAATACTTGCATGCTTCCTAGGTGTAACATCCATTATAAATTTCAGTAGTAATCATGAACTGAAGGGGAGAATTTGGCGAAACCACATTCACTCACAGAGCACGCCTGCATGAATAGCCTTACAGAACAACAGTTGTTGTAGGACTGACGAGAGCTGCAGGGTAACACCACAGCTGGAAGGTTGCCAGAAGTCAGTAGCAAACTCTTCTGAAAAGAAAAGAACCCAAGCTACATTAATTAAGCCAGAGACTAAGGCATGATACAATCACAAAATTTACTCCTATCCTAATTAATTTGCACACTATTGTACAGAAATGTGGTTTTTAACCCCCTCCCACAAACACATGGGGCCACACATGAAGCCACATGGGAGGCCAGAAACGTGGAGAGCTAAAATGCTGGAGGTGGTGCTGGAAAACTTCATGCACCAACATGTTAGATGCACAACCAGGGAGAGGAGTGGATGAGCCATCAAGATTAGACCTAGTATTCACCTTGAGTAGTTCAGACACTGGCGATATTACATACAAAAGACCCCTAGGTAGTTTTGAGTTTGGAATACCTTGTTAAGTTAACAGAAGAGAGTGAAGTAGTACGAGGAGGGGAGAAGCCAAACTTGAAAAAAAGGGGACTACACAGGCATGAGGCAATTCCTGTATGAGGTGCGGTAGGGAAGAGAATTAAAGGGAAAGACAGTAAATTAAATGATGGAACACGTGACCACAAAGTGAAGGGAGGCAGAGAAGTTTATACCCAGGGGCCAAAAAAAAAAAAAAATGGGAAGACCAGAGTGAGCCCATGGTTTACCCGGAGGTGTGGAGATGCCAAAGCCAAAGTGCAGAAGACAAAGGACTCAGGAAAACAAGGAGTTGAGCTGAAGAGCCAGAAACTAATATGCATGGATAAGGAGAGAGGTCCAGTGACAATACGAGAATGACACAGCATCAAAAACCAAATCTGACCTAATGTTGTTATACAGCCACACCAGGAGGAAAACAACATTCAAGAACCAGATAATCAGGTTGAGCAAGAAAGGAGGGAGCTCACAGGGAGTAATCAGGAAGTATGTGATGGGTTGAGCACAAGATTTAGGGGAAGTATGTCTTCACAGTGGAGACAGAAAAACTTCCAGCAAACCTAGGCGGTAAGGCACACCAGCAAATGCTGGACACACTGCACACAACCGAGGAGGAGGTGAAGAAACTGCTATATGAACTATATACCTCGAAGGTGGTGGGCCCAGATAACATCTCTCCGTGGGTCCTGAGAGAGGGAGCAGATGCACCGTGTCACTAAAAGCAACCTTCAATAAATCTATCGAAACAAGGCAACTACCTGAGGTATGGAAGACAGCAAATATAGTCCCAGTTTTTAAGACAGGAGATATACAGGCAGCTATAAGCTACAAACCAGTATTAGTGGTATGTATAGTATGCAAAGTCATGGAAAAGATTATTAGAGAAGAGTGGTGCACATAGAAAGGAATGGGCTGATACATGACAACCAGCAAGGCTTCAGGGATGGGAAATTGTTTGTCACAAACCTACTGGAGTTCTACGACAAGGTAACAGAAGTAAGACAAGAGAGAGAGGGATGGGAAGACCGCATCTTCTTGGACTGTAAGAAGGCTTTCAACACAGTACCACATAAGAGACTGGTACAAAAGCTTGAGGAGCAGGTAGGAATGACAGATAAAGTACTGCGATGAATCAGCGAATACCTGACAGAAGGGAAACGAGTGATGGTACGTGATGAAGTGTCAGAGTGGGCACATATGACAAGCGGGATTCCACAAGGGTCAGTCCTAGGTCCGATGCTATTTCTTGTATATATGAATGATATGAAGTTAGGGATAGATTCAGAGGTCTCCCTGTTCACTGACGATGTGACGCTAATAAGGAGAATACGAGCGGAAGAGAATCAGGTAAGTCTACAAGGGGATCTGGACGGGCTGCGAAGTTTAACCCCAGTAATTGCAAAGTTATGAAGCTTGGGGAAGGGCAAAGAAGACCGCAGATGGAGTACAGCCTAAGAGGTCAAAGGCTGGAAATCTCACTCAAGGAAAAGGATCTTGGCATAAGCATCATACCGAGCACATCTCCTGAGGCACACATCAACTAAATAACTGCTGCAGCATATGGGCGCCTGGCAAACCTAAGAATAACGTTTCGACATCTAAGTAAGGAGTCATTCAAGACACTGTACACTTGTGTACGTCAGGCCCATACTGGAGTACGCAGCACCAGTATGGAACCCACACCTGGTCAAACAAGTCAATAAATTAGAGAAAGTACAGATTTGCAACAAGACTAGTCCCGGAGCTGAGGGGTTCGTCCTACGAGAAGAGATTAAGGGAACTCAATCTGACAACACTGGAGGACAGGAGGGATAGGGACAACATGATATCGACATATAAAATGCTGAAAGAAGTTGACAAGGTGGATAGAGACAGAATGTTTCAGAGATGGGACACAACAAGGGGTCACAACTAGAAGTTGAAAACTCAGATGAGTCACAGGGATGTTAGGAAGTAATTCTTCAGTCTTAGAGTTGCCAGGAAGTGAAACAATCTGAAGAATGGTGTAGTGGAGGCAGGATCCATACATACCTGGAGAGGGTTCCGGGAGTCAACGCTCCCGAGGCCCGGTCCGTGCTCAGACCTCATAGCTTTAAGAAGTACGATAAAGCTCATGAAGCAGGGAGTGGACCTAGTAGCGACCAGCGAAGAGGCGGGGCCAGGAGCTATGAATCGACCCCTGCAACCACTTATAGGTGGGTACACCCACACACACACACATACACACCACACCCATCCCACACCCAATATACACACCCAGCATAAATACATACACTCCACACCCACACATACACACGCAACACCCACACACACACACACACACACACACACACACACACGGGGCCAGGAGCTATGACTCGACCCCTGCAACCACAAACAGGTGAGTGAGTACACACACAGACGTCAGTCCTAGGACCTGTGCTGTTTTTGGTATATGTAAATGACATAACGGAAGGGATAGACTCAGAAGTGTCCTTGTTTGCAGACGATGTGAAGTTAATGAGGAGAATCGAATCGGACGAGGATCAGGCAGGACTACAAAGAGACCTGGACAGGCTACAAGCCTGGTCCAGCAACTGGCTCCTTGAATTTAACCCTGCCAAATGCAAAGTCATGAAGATTGGGGAAGGGCAAAGAAGACCGCAGACACAATATAGTTTAGATGGCCAAAGACTACAAACCTCACTCAAGGAAAAAGATCTGGGGGTGAGTATAACACCGAACATATCTCCTGAGGCGCACATCAATCAGATAACTGCCGCAGCGTACGGGCGTCTGGCAAACCTACGGATAGCGTTCCGATACCTCATCAGTCAGGAATCGTTCAAGACTCTGTACACCATTTACATCAGGCCCATACTGGAGTATGCAGCACCAGTTTGGAATCCACACCTGGTCAAGCACGTCAATAAATTAGAGAAAGTGCAAAGGTTTGCAACAAGAGCTAAGGGGATTGTCCTACGAAGAAAGATTAAGGGAAATCGGCCTGACGACACCGGAGGACAGGAGTGTCAGGGGAGACATGATAACGATATATAAAATACTGCGCGGAATAGACAAGGTGGACAAAGACGAGATGTTCCAGAGAAGGGACACAGAAACAAGAGGTCACAATTGGAAGCTGAAGACTCATACGAGTCAAAGGGATGTTAGGAAGTATTTCTTCAGTCATAGAGTTGTCAGGAAATGGAACTGCCTAGAAAGTGACGTAGTGGAGGCAGGAACCATACATAGTTTTAAGACGAGGTTTGATAAAGCTCATGGAGCAGGGAGAAAGAGGACCTAGTAGCAATCAGTGAAGAGGCGGGGCCAGGAGCTATGAATCGACCCCTGCAACCACAAATAGGTGAGTACAAATAGGTGAGGACACACACGCGCGCGCGCGCGCGCCACAGAGTAGTCAGGAAGTGGAATAGTTTGGGAAGCGATGTAGTGGAGGCAGGATACATACATAGCTTTAAGCAGAGGTATGATAAAGCTCACGGTTCGGGGAGAGTGACCTTGTAGCGACCAGTGAAGAGGCGGGGCCAGGAGCTAGGACTCGACCCCTGCAACCTCAACTAGGTGAGTACAACTAGGTGAGTACACACACACACATACACACACACAGACACACACACAGACACACACACACACACATACACACAGCGTTCCGATACCTTAGTAAGGAATCGTTCAAGATACTGTACACCGTGTACGTCAGGCCCATACCGGAGTATGCAGCACCAGTTTGGAATCCACATTTGATCAAGCACGTCAAGAAATTAGAGAAAGTGCAAAGGTTTGCGACAACGTTAGTTCCAGAGCTAAGAGGAATGTCCTACGAAGAAAGTTTAAGGGAAATCGGTCTGACGACAGTAGAGGACAGGAGGTTCAGGGGAAAATGATAACGACATTTAAAATACTGCGTGGAATAGACAAAGTGGACAGAGACAGGATGTTCCAGAGAGGGGACACAGAAACAAGGGGTCACGCTTGGAAGCTGAAAACTCAGATGAGTCAAAGGGATGTTAGGAAGTATTTCTTCGGTCATAGAGTTGTCAGGAAGTGGAATAGCCTAGAAAGTGAGGTAGTGTAGGCAGGAACTATACATAGCTTTAAGTTGAGGTATGATAAAGCTCATAGAGTAGGGGGAGAGAGAAGATAGATAGATAGAGAGAGGAGAGAGAGAGAGAGGAAGAGAGAGAGAGAGAGAAGGAGAGGAGAGAGAGAGAGAGAGAAGAGGAGTGGGTGAGAGGGGGACCTAGTAGCGTTCATTTGAAGAGGCGGGGCAGGAGCGAGTATGGGACCCCCTGCAACCACAATTAGGTGATTTACACACATCACACAGTACCGCTGGTTCACAAAACCTGTACATTTTAAAGAAGGAGGACACCATAGAAGAGCGTAAAATCCCAGCTCCTGAACCAAGGCTCCCACCATACACACCCAGCACTGTAGGCTCCCAGGTAACGCAGGAAAAAATCTGTTCAAAATATATGTTTGAGCAGAGAAACAAGGCACTGCCACGGCCACGGCCACGGCCACGGCCACGGCCCCACGGCTACATAAACAACTATTACCTCAAATCCATCTCCTATAACTGTCCCACGACCGTCACTGAACTAAAAACACAGTCATTTAAGAAAGGAAAAATGTTTAAAAAATATAATGTAATGAGCCAAAATATTAGCAAATTAAGCAGAGAAAAGGAAGATTTTCTTTCAAGGGTGACAAAAAATGTTAAGCACTTACGGCAGTGTTATTCATTTCCAACACAATTACAAAACTTAAACCAAAACCACTGGTTTTACACTCAGCCCTCAAGGAGGGTCCTCAGAGGAGACGGGGGGCCCTGAGGAGTACCCTCAAGTGTGCCCCAGGCTGCTGAGGGGTTCTTCATCCCAATAAACCTGAAGAACCCCTCCTCGTCCCCAGATCACATTATATTGCAGTACGCGCAAGTTACCTGCACCACGGCCACAACCAGCTACTTCCTGCACTGAAGAAACTCTGTGTCCTTCACCAGTTTCGAATAGACCACTCCCAGTCCTCAGGTGTTGTATGCCCCTTTGCGGATTAGTGCCTCCCCCATGATATATTTAAATAAAGTTTTGTTTGAGCTGATACCGCTTAACCTCCACAACACAACACAGCAACACAAAGCAACACATGCAATAGTGTGTTTTAACGTGATATCAATTTCCGGTGGGCCATGTTCATTAAAACTGATAAATCGTGTTTAGAAATGTAAATAAATAAGTTTATTTAAGTACAGGTACACATAAGTACAGTCATACAAATTTATGTGATTACAATTATCATAAAACACATGATTAACAATTTGCAAGCTGCGGTTTGCCTTTTGTAGCAGAAGTACTGCGTAGATTTATGCAGAGTGTACAGGTTCGAATCTTGCTGTGGGATGAGAGATAATGATATTAACATATATATAAGTTGCCTAGAATAACCACAAAAAAGTCAAAGTGATTCATTTCCACTGGGGTCCCTGCTGAGGATTTAACAAGTTATTTTTCATACTTTTCAGCTAGCTAATATGTATGAAACACGAAACACAACACACACTATTGTAGAGCTGCTTGTCATAAGACGTACGATAGTCAGTCACAGAAAATATAGCAGTTTTCCAAGACATAACACAGTAAGGTGATGCTTGTAAAGGGAATGATCAGAGAAGACGTTGTGTTTGTGAACAATGATCAGAGAGAGAAGACTGGTGTGTTTGTGAACAAATCAAAAGAGAAGACTGTTGTGCTTGTGAACAATGATCAGAAGAGAGAAGACTGGTGTGTTTGTGAACAATGATCAGAAGAGAGAAGACTGGTGTGTTTGTGAACAATGATCAGGAGAGAGAAGACTGGTGTGTTTGTGAACAATGATCAGAAGAGAAAAGACTGGTGTGTTGTGAAATTGATCAAAAGAGAGAAGACTGTGTGCTTGTTGAATAATGATCAGAAGCGAGAAGCCCTGTTGTGCTTGTAATAAAATGATCAGGAGAGAGAAGAATGTTGTGTTTGCGAAGAATGTTTCAGGAGAGAGAAGATGGTGCTTGTGAAAATGTAAAGGAGAGAGAAGACTGTGTGCTTTGTGAACTGATCAGGAGAGAGAAGACTGTGTGGCTTGTGAAGAAAAACAGAGAGAAAAGGGAGGTGTGCTTGTGAAAATGATCGGGTTTGAGAGAAGCCCTGGTGTGCTTTGGAAGAAATGATCAGGAAGAGAAAAGACTGGTGTGTTGTGAAATTAAACAGGAAGAAAAGACTGGTGTGCTTGTGAAGAATGATCAAGAGAGAGAAGACTGGTGTGCTTGTGAACAATGATCAGGAGAGAGAAGACTGGTGTGCTTGTGAACAATGATCAGGAGAGAGAAGACTGGTGTGCTTGTGAACAATTGATCAGGAAGAAAGAACTGGTGGCTTGTCAACAATGACAGAAGAGAGAAGGACGGGTGTGTTTGTGAACATGATCAAGAGGAAGACTGGTTGCTTGTCAACAATGATCAGAAGAGAGAAGACTGGTGTGCTTGTCAACAATGATCAGAAGAGAGAAGACTGTTGTGCTTGTGAAGAATGATCAGAAGAGAGAAGACTGGTGTGCTTGTGAAGAATGATCAGAAGAGAGAAGACTGTTGTGCATGTGAACAATGATCAGAGAGAGAAGACTGGTGTGCTTGTGAAGAATGATCAGGAGAGAGAAGACTGGTGTGCTTGTGAAGAATGATCAAGAGAGAGAAGACTGGTTGTTTGTGAAAATGATCAAAGAGAAAAAGGGACTGGTGTGTTTGTAAAAGAATGATCAAGAAGAGGAAGATGGTGTGCTTGTAACAATGATCAGAAGGAGAAGACGGGTGTTGCTTGTGAAGAATGATCAAAAAAGAGAGACTGGTGTGCTTGTGAAGAATGATCAAGAGAGAGAAGACTGGTGTGCTTGTGAACAATGATCAAGAAGGGGAAAAGACTGGTGTGCTTGTGAAGAATGATCGGGAAGGAGGGGAAGACTGGTGTGCTTGTGAAACAATGACAAGAGAGAGAAGACAGGTTGCTTGTAAACAATGATCAAGAGAGAGAAGACGGTGGCTTGTGAACAATGATAGGAGAGAGAAGACTGGTGGCTTGTAAAAATGAAAGGGAAAGAGAAGAATGGTGTGCTTGTAAAGAATGTTTCAAGACAGGGGAAGACTGGGTGCTTGTGAACCAATGATCAGAAAGAGAGAAACTGGTGTGCTTGTGAAGAATGACAGACAGAGAAGACGGGTGTGCTTTAACAATGATAGAGAGAGAAGACTGGTGTGCTTTAAACAATGATCAAAGAAGAAGACTGGTGTGCTTGTGAAGAATGATCAGAAGAGAGAAGACTGGTGTGCTTGTAAACAATGATCAGAAGAGAGAAGACTGGTGTGCTTGTGAAGAATGATCAAGACAGAGAAGACTGGTGTGCTTGTGAACAATGATCAGAAGAGAGAAGACTGGTGTGCTTGTGAAGAATGATCAGAAGAGAGAAGGCGGGTGTGCTTGTCAAGTCTTTAACAAACATTAGAGGAAAAAATATGGAAAATATGCGAGCGTGTTTAGCACATATTAGGTGAGACTTCTGCATTTTAGTGTATTAAGGATTAGTGACCTGCCATACAGTGTTGTTGTTACTGCCACACAGGTACAGTGTTGTTGTTACTGTCATACAGATACAGTGTTGTTACTGTCATACAGGTGCAGTGTTGTTGTTACTGCCACACAGGTACAGTGTTGTTGTTACTGTCATACAGATACAGTGTTGTTACTGTCATACAGGTACAGTGTTGTTGTTACTGCCACACAGGTACAGTGTTGTTGTTACTGTCATACAGATACAGTGTTGTTACTGTCATACAGGTGCAGTGTTGTTGTTACTGTCATACAGGTACAGTGCTGTTGTTACTGTCATACAGGTACAGTTTGTTGTTAGTCATACAGGTGCAGTGTTGTTGTTACTGCCATACAGGTACAGTGCTGTTGTTACTGCCATACAGGTACAGTGTTGTTGTTACTGTCATAGAGATACAGTGTTGTTACTGCCATACAGGTACAGTGTTGTTGTGACGGGCCATACAGGTACAGTTTGTGTTACTGTCATACAGGTACAGTGTTGTTGTTCAACTGCCAAAACAGGTACGGGTTGTTGTTTTGTTGCTGTCATACAGGTACAGTGTTGTTGTTACTGCCATACAGGTACAGTGTTGTTGTTGACTGCCATACAGGTACAGTGTTGTTGTTACTGTCATACAGGTACAGTGTTGTTGTTACTGCCATACAGGTACAGTGTTGTTGTTGCTGTCATACGGTACTTGTGTTTTTTCTGCCATAACAGGTACAGTGTTGTTGTTGCTGTCATACAGGAACAGTGTTGTTCTTGCTGTCATACAAAAACACTGTGTTGTTGCTGTCATACAGGAACAGTGTTGTTCTTGCTGTCATACAAAAACACTGTGTTCTTGCTGTCATACAGGAACACTGTGTTGTTGCTGTCATACAGGAACACTGTGTTGTTGCTGTCATACAGGTACAGTGTTGTTGTTGCTGTCATACAGGAACACTGTGTTGTTGTTGTCATACAGGAACACTGCGTTGTTGCTGTCATACAAAAACACTGTGTTGTTGTTGTCATACAGGAACACTGTGCTGTTGCTGTCATACAGGAACACTGTGTTGTTGCTGTCATACAGGTACAGTGTTGTTGTTGTTGCTGTCATACAGGTACAGTGTTGTTGTTGTTGCTGTCATACAGGTACAGTGTTGTTGTTGTTGCTGTCATACAGGTACAGTGTTGTTGCTGTCATACAGGAACACTGTGTTGTTGTTGTCATACAGGAACGCTGTGCTGTTGCTGTCATACAGGTACAGTTTTGTTGTTGCTGTCATACAGGAACATTGTGTTGTTACTGTCATACAGGTAAATTGTTGCCGTTACTGTCATACAGGTACAGTGTTGTTACTGACATACAGGTACAGTGTTGTTGCTACTGTCATACAGGTAAAGTGTTGTTGCTGTCATACAGGTACATTGTTGTTGTTGGTGTCATACATGTACAGTGTTGTTACTGTCACACAGGTGCAGTGTTGTTGCTGACATACAGGTACAGTGTTGTGATGAATGGTTTGAAAAACCGACAAGTTGAAGATTGAGACACTTATGCAGCATATGGGAATCTTTATTCAGGAAACGTTTCGCCACACAGTGGCTTCATCAGTCCAATACAAAGAGGAAGGCGTAAGGAGAGGAGGAGTATGAGGGACTGATTACCTCATACTCCTCCTCTCCTTACGCCTTCCTCTTTGTATTGGACTGATGAAGCCACTGTGTGGCGAAACGTTTCCTGAATAAAGATTCCCATATGCTGCACAGGTACAGTGTTATTGTTACTGGCATACATGTACAGTGTTGTTACTGCCATACAGGTACAGTGCTGTTGTTACTGTCATACAGGTACAGTGT